GTGTAACATCAATGATTGTACCTAATGTATCTGTACAAGTGCACTTTCTAAATGCTTTCCTAAACAGATCTTAAAACGATTAGAAACTTTATCAAATTGTAAATGTAAATCACATGCGGGTTACCCTTATAACAGATGAAGGCTGGTAGAATGTTATGGCCCAGATCTGGTGATGGGTATGATGATGGAGAGGCGCTATGTCAATGGGGGTCATGGAAATGGTGGCAGTGGCGGTACGCATTCTGGCTTTATGCCGAGCTCAAACGTGCCTTGTTCCAGAGACAAGAGATCCGTAACCAAGTATTGCTTAGCTTAGCCCATGGCAATCCCGATAGCCATGAAGGTTGGTTACAGATGATTTAAGGTTGGGGTATCTCCGATGATGGGCAACCTGTGGGGAAGACCCCTCCCACCTAAAACAGGGGTTCAAGGTCCCCCAAAGACTGGAAAGGGAGGGTGACCCTACTTAACCTAAGCCAGGAGTGCCTCATTTAAAAATAAAAAGGGGTAAATTGTGGGAACACCAGACCTTGAGCAGAGACCCACTTCCCCTTCTGCCTGGGAGTAGGCAGCTATAAGACAATGTTTAGTAAAAACATGTTTACTAAAAACAATACAATAAGTTCCTGGCCACTTCCCCTTCTGCCTGGGAGTAGGCAGCTGTAAGACAATGTTTAGTAAAAACATGTTTACTAAAAATGATACAATAAGTTCCTGGGAAAGGCCTTCCCACGGAAACTGCCCTGACCTCGACCTTGTCCAGAGACTAACCGCACCTTCAAAAACCCACACACATCCACCTCTGGGTCAGAGCAGAACCAGCCAGGGTAGAGGAGAGAGCAGAAGCTTCTCTGGTGGGAGCCTTTCTTAGGAAGTTTTTCTTAAACCTTTTTGGAGCCTGTTTAAAGTTTTCTTTATATCATTAAACGAGTCTCTGTGTTGTCAATACCCGACACCCTCCACACGTTCTCGGACACAGGCCGCGCAACAGACATGACAGTGGTGGCGCACAACCTTTATAATTCCAGTACTCGGGAGGCAGAAGCAGGCAGATTTCTGTGAGTTCGAGGCCAGTCTGGTCTACAAAGTGAGTTCCAGGACAGCCTCCAAAAAATACAGAGAAACCCTGTCTCAAAAAAAAATATCAAAATAGGGAGTGCTGATTATGATATATTTAACAAAGACCTGTACCTGAAAGTAAGAAAAAGGTAGAGGACTCCAGATGAAGAAAAATAAAGGTAGGATGAATATATTGAGAAAGACACACAAACAGAAAATGTGTGATATGCCTCTGCTCAATGGAGAAATGTGAACACCACCTGCCACAAATGAGTCAAAAAATAAGATGGATGGCAAGTGTGTTCTGAGATTGAGGAGGGTCCTGAGAATCCGCGAATCTCACCAGCTGAGGAACACAAATTATCGTAATCCTTTTTTGGAAGCTGAAAGAAGACATCTACTTACTGCACTGTCCAACACAGAATTTATCCTAGGAGCCAGAAATTAGACTCCATGGCAAATGCTCAATAGCTTTGCATCTTCTTCATCACCAAATGTCACATGCTAACACAACCAGAGATCTTCATATTAGCCTTATGTTAAAAGCAACCCAGATGCCTATCTGCGTCCCAATAATTACTCACCACAGTGTAGTGAAGAATTAGAATAGCACATCATGGATGGGTGTAGAGATACAGTCTCTTCTATGGCTGGCACCCCTACAATAAAAGAGGGCTTACGAAGAGAGAAGCATAGCAAATCTATCTACATGGCACGGAAGCCTTCCGATATTAAGTCCCAAGGACTAAAGGAGGCTTTCTATTTTTGTGTTTAGAGTCATCAACACATGTCACCACACAGCAATTGGTACCCAGGGTCTGACAGGAATGAGAGAGGGAGGAAAGAAGGGCAGCAAAGCCTAAGGGGACACTCAGATTCGCTAAAGCATGCTTCCTGTAGGAAAGGAGCAAGCCGTCTCTGGAAAGAGGATATCATGGCCTTCTATCAAATGAACTAGGTCAAGAAATTCTCTCATGGCCAACTAATACTTACAGAGATAGAGAATATGGAGCAACACTCCTACTTCTATGGTCCAACTTGGAGAAGAGGAAATTCTGGATTCTCTGAAACTCAGAGGAAGAAGATGAAAGGCCAAGGGCAGACTTCAGGGACTTTCAAATGCCCTTTAGCTTAGAACATACATGTTTCAAAGTCACATCCCATTGGGATGCTGAGGTTTACCAACCTTACATACAGACAACAAATTGTGCTTCTACATGGCAAATGTCAGGAGTTTGCATTTTTTAAACTTCTCATCATGCTGGTGATGATGTTCTGAAGATGCTATAAGACTCTTTGGACACCCACAATGGTAACAGACATCAAGAGCTGCCACAACCACATGGATGGCGCTCTTAGTTTGCTTTCTCTTGCTAAACTATGACCCAAAGCAACTTGGAGACCTAAGAGTTTATTTGGCTTATATATCACCATCAGAGTTGATTGCTAAAGAAAGTCCAGTGCAAGAGACTGCAGATGTAAACTTAAGCAGAGATCATGGGGGGGTGATGCATACCTCTTTCCTCCCCTTGGCTTTCAATTTTCTTTCACATATACTTCCGGAACACCTGCCCAAGAATAGCACCAACAATAGTGAACTATCCTCTTCCACATGAATCATTAATCAAGAAACTGCCCCACAGATGATCCTACAGGCAAACCTGATGGGGGCACTGTCTGATTTGAGACACCTTCTTCTTGGATGACCAAAGCATGTGTCAAGATGACAAAAAAAATGATGAACACAATGATTCCTAGAAATTCTGGGCTGAACAGAAGCTACACACTAACATAAAGGGGAAAACTAGGAAAAAAGAAATTGTTGGTATTACAATTCACAGTACTGGTTTTACTTGGGAAATGTTCATCACAAGCAATGATCCTCAATTTTTCTTATACATATATAATATATATTTTATGTACATGTTACAGATACATATGGATGACATGAGTACAAGACCTAAACAACTAAAGCGAGAAAAAAAATGTAACATAGGGGGTGGGCATCAACTCTCGATGTTGGCTGAGGACATATTGACGGTTTATAGCTGCAAGAAGAGAGAGAATCAGTGATCTTTAAGAGTGCTTTGCCTTGTATGCTGACCAGTAAATAGCACAGAGTTTATAGGAAGTACAAATTGGCTTCACATGTTTAAGAAAGAAAAAAAGGACAAAGTTGGTTGGAAGAGAAGAAAAGAAGATATTGAAGATGTGAGGGAGGGGTGAGCATAGTTAACATATTTTACAACTGAAAAGGTGATTAAACATTAAATTAAAGGTAAGTGCTGACCAAGAAACTGAGGCAGGTGGCTATCTGACTTTGACTACAGAGATCTGGACTGTGGAGTGAGGTCCAGGATAGCCAGGGCTACACAGAGAAAGCCTGTCTCAAAATATCTCCCATTCCCAAAAAGGAAACTTAAATTGAAACAGGAGAAGTCTAAGTATTAATCACAAGACTAGTGAGAGGGTTCAACAGATGAAGTACTATACCATGGCCATGGCTTCAGTAAAGCGATGCCACAACGTATCCCGACTCCACAAGTGGATTTTAACATTCCAACTCTACCTATATCTAACACACACAGACAGATGGACGGACAGACAGACAGACAGACAGAGATTAAAATAAATAAATACTACATCCAACACCTCCCAGGTTAAATCAAATGACTATAACATTGAAGAATGACACATCCGTATACATGTTCCCACAACCAAAAGTCAGAATTTAATCTTCAACCTAGGAATTCAACCATCTGAATAAAGGGAAGCATACAATTAATAATGATTGTGGCTGGGCGGTGGTGGCGCATGCCTTTAGTCCCAGCACTCGGGAGGCAGAGGCAGGCGGATCTCTGTGAGTTCGAGGCCAGGCTGGACTGACAGCCTCCAAAACAATACAGAGAAACCCTGTCTCGTAAAAACAAAAAAAAATTAATAATGATTGTGCCTATCATTTTTTATGCTGAGTCTCAGAAATCCACTCTCACGACTCACCCAAACTAGACATGAGTATGAGGTGTAGGGTTGGTCTCTTCTCCTGCTGCGCTTTTATACAAATACCTGAGGGAAACCATTTAAGGTAGAGAAGGATGATGTCAGTGTTCAGAGGTGTCAGCCCCTTGCTGTGAACCTGTGGTAAAGAACTTGCTGCCAGATGCAGACAGTGAAGGGAGATGCTCACCTTCTGATCGCCAGGAAGCAAACACATCAGGAGTCGAGAGACAAAGGCATGATTTCAAAACAACTCATTCATCCGTGAGCTCACTATGGGTTTATCCAACGTTACCATGGCTACCCTCATGATGTAATTACCTATTTTTATTTAATTTTTAAGGAAGAAAATTAGATCTTCAACATCCATTAATTTGTTGTGGATTTCACATCATGCGTCCTGATCCCATTTATCTCCCTATCGTGAGTCATTGGTCAACTCGGAGGTCTTTGACTTCTGCTAAACCACCAAGAGTTCCTCTTAAATATCCTGCTGTTGTCCTGTATCCCAGGGATCCTGCAGTTTTTGATTTGTCGGTCTGTCACATTTCAACACTTCACAGATGGGGTGGATGGTGGGACAGACCAACTCATACCCATGTTTCTGGGCCTGGGTAGTAACTGGGGTGGTCACCCTGTCATCCTTCCCTCACTTTTGGAGCTCTCAACCACTGCCTGGAGCAGTGAACAGATCCAGTTCTCCTGTTCTGTTTCTCATTAGAAAACAACAGGTTTCTAAGAGGTAATAATAATATATATAACAAAGTAAAACTACAGTAAGATAAAACAAAAACCCTCAGATAAAAGATGGGCAGGACAAATCAAATACAAGAAAAAACAGCCAAGAGAAGGCATAAGAATCAGGGAGCCACTCAGACTTGGGAACCCCATTAAAAAAACTCAACTGGAAGCTATATTATACATGCAGAGGACATAGTACGTACCAGTGTGTGCTGCTTCAGTCTGTACGAGCTTTATTCGTGTTGACTGAGAAGTCCTTGTATTTTGGTGTCCTCCCTCTGTCTCCTCTTTGGAAGAGGTTCCCTGGACTCTAATGGGAGATATTTGATAGAGACATCCCATCGAGGACTGCAAAGTATCTGGCGTGGGTCTCTGTATTTGATCCCATCTGTCACAGGAGGAAGATTCTCTGTTGACCACTAAACAAGGTACTGACCTATGACTATAGCAGAATATCATGAGGAACTCTTTTTTATCAATGTGTTGTCTCCTTTTTTTTTTTTTAGAGCAGTAAGTACTATTTGGTTTTTCCCATAAGTTTCTCTGGTTATTGATCACTGAGCTAGCATTGGGTAAAGGTTCTATCTTGTGCAGCAGGTCTCAAATCAAATAAACCATTGGTTGGTTTTCCCTACAAGCTTCATGTGATCATTCCCATAGCTTATTCTGGAGGCAGGACACCATTGTAAATCAATGGTATTGTAGCTGGATTGCTATTTTAGCTTTCTCTTTTGGTAGCATGTAAAATACTTCCCTATAACAAAAGCATGAAATGAAGGCACTATGTAAGAAGCAACTCTATGTTCAATGAGTTGTGTAGGGGTTTGTCTTCAACCATGAGGCTTTGTTGTCAATTTATGGAGAGCTACCCATTGTCTTAGCGAAAGCCTGGGTAGTTTGGACATTCGCATGGGACCCCTTTGGCCAAAACCTCAATTGGATTTAACCCAATCCCAGTATGGAAAGCTTCATTTGGTGACATGAAAATGATTTGGCAATTAGTTTTAGATCACCTTAATCAGTGTGTGTATTTTCGTAAGTTTATACTCCATTTGGTCTCCTTACAGCCCCCCAAAAAACTCTTAAATTTAGCTGCTTCTCCCCATATTCCCTCTTTCAGTCCACTCTCCACCTCTCTTCTCTAATTAGTCCTCCCATTCCATCACCTCTCCATCCATCAGTATCTATGCATTCTACTCCTCTTCCTAATTAGTTCTATTTACACCTGCTGGTCAGTTACTCTATACCTATTCCCTTTGGTTCTATGGATTGTAGTTTGATTATCAATTACTTAAAAGCTGACAGCAATATATAAGTCAATGTATAGCATATTTGTCTTTGTTGGTCCAGATTGCCTTAGTAAGAACAACTTTTTTTCTAGTTGCATCCATTTACCTGAAAATTTCATGATGTCAATTTTTTAAAACCTCCGAGTAATAGTGAATTGTAAATGTACCATATTTTCTTTATCCGTTCTTGAATTTAGGGACACCTAGGATATTTCCAATTTCTGGCAATTATGAAACTGATGTCAGTGAACATGGTTAACCAAGTCTCTTTCTAGTAGGGTGAACATCGTTTGGGTATATGTCCAAGAGTGATACACATCTGGATCTTAAGGTAGACTGATTCCCATCTCCCTGAGGACCTGCCACACTGACTTCCATAGTGCCTATAGACGTTTCCACTCCCACATAAAAGGAATGAGTGAACTCCTTACTCTATGTCTTCAACAGCATCAGCTGTCACTTATTCTGTTGATCTTAGCCATTCTGACAGGTTTCAGATGAAATCTCAAAGTAGGTTTGACTTTTGATTATGCATTTTCCCCTAATGGCTAAGTATGTTAAACATTTAAGTATTTCTCAGCCATTTGAGTTTTCTGTATGGAGAATTCTCTGTTTATATCTGTATCCAATTTTTAACTGTGTTATTGGTTTTCTTGATATATACTTTCCTGATTTCTCTATATATTTTGGATATTAGCTCTATTGGATGTGGAATTGGTAAAAATGTTTTCCCATTCTGTAGGCTGAAGCTTTGCCCAAATGATGTCCTTTTCCTTAAAAGGAACTTTCCAATTTCATGAGCTCACATTAATTAATTATTATTCTTAGTGCCTGTACTAATGGCTTTCTGTTTCAAAAATCTTTTCCTGTGCAAATGAATTCAAGGCTATTTCCCACTCATCTGTCAGGTCTAGTATATCTAGTTTTATGCTGAGTTCTTTGAAGGGCTTGGATTAGGGCATGAATCTGTATTCCTCTGCATACAACCACTCACTTTGACCAACACCACATGTTGAAAATGCTGTGTTTCTCCGATGTGTATTTCTGAACTTGTTACCAAAAATCAGATGTCCATAGGTGTGTAGATTGGTTTTTTGGGTCTTCAATTAGATTCCATTGATCAATATCTGTTTTTATGTCCATACTAAGCTGTTTTAATTGTCATGGCTTTGTAGTACAACTTGAAACAGATATTGTATTATGCAGGAGAGTTTTAGCTACTGTGGATTTTGGGGTGTTTCCATATGAAGCTGAACACTGTCCTTTCAAGATCTATACTGAATCATGTTGAAATTTTAACATATTGCTTTGAATCTGTAGCTTTTATTTAGTGGGATGGCCATTATTACTATGTTAAACTTACTGATCCATAAACATGGGAGGTCATTTCATTTTCTAACTATCTTCAATAACCTGAATTTCATATCACACAAGTCTTTCACTTGCTTGCTCAGAGTTATCACAAGATATTTTATACTTGAGGATTACAAAGGGTGTTGTTTCCCTGACTTTTACTCAGTCTGCCATTTCTTTATATGAGGGTTACTGATATTTTTTTTGGTAATTTTGTAGCCAACATATTTATCACCTGTGGAGTTTCTTGCTGAGATTCTCCAGCAAGAAACTACTTATATCTACTCTCATATCATCTGCAGATGATTTGCTCATCTTCAAATTGTATTCGCATGATCTCCATCAGTTCTCTATTGTGCCAGCTACTATTACAACTAATGAAGTGCACAGGAATGGATAGTGGACAAATTTGTCCAACTGCTGATTTTTATTGGAATGGATTTGAATTTCTCTCCATTTGAGTTGATGATGACTATGGGCTTGCCGCAATATCACTAGTATGCCTGGTCACTCTAGGACTTTTATCGTGAAGTGGTGTTGGATTGCATCAAAGAACATTTCTGAATCTAATGAGACGACCGTGCTGTTCTTTCTGTCAGTTGGTTTACATAATGGATTATATGCACCAATTTATGTATGGTGAATCACCCCCTCATCTATAAGGTGAACCGTACCTGATCACAGTGGTTATGTGTTTTGTTGTGTTCTTGAATTCAGTTAGCAAGTATTTTAGCAAGAATTTTTTAACCTATGTTCATAAGGGAAATTGGTTTATAATTTTCTTTCATTGTTGGGCCTTTATGTGGTTTGGCTACCAGGGTAATTGTGTCCTCATAAAATGATCTCAACAATGTCTTTTGTTTCTATTTTGTAGAATAATTAGAGGAGCACTGGCAAGAACTCTACTTTGAAATTCATGTGGAATTCTGTGCTAAAAATCATGTCAATGGGCATTTTTGGTTGGCAGACTTTTAATGATGCTTCCATTTCACTCAGTGCTATAGTTCTTACCAAATTGCTTCTCTGGCCTTGACTTAAATTGGCTAAGTGCTATGTGTTGAGAAAATTAGCTGTTTGTTATGTACTTTCTAAATTTGTATAATACTGCAGATCTATGGATGGAAATGGGATACTGGATCTCTAGGATCAGAAGTAAATTCTGTATAAATCCTATATGCTTTAATTGTACAGCTATCCTATTAGTTCACAGGTAGTTGGAGGTGGATATCATGTCTGTACTATATTAAGGACTTTCCAAGGGAGTTGAGTGGTAGGGTCTGTGTATTCTACTGGATATGGGAACAGAGTGTGTGGTATAAGGGTTCATCAGCAGATGATATACGGCAGATAGGTGAAGGGAGCTGGGGGAATGGATCTCAAGGATCTGGGGTATTGGCGAAGTCTTGTTGGCAGGCTATCTGCTTCAATGACAGCAAAGTCCTATGGGTTCCAAGTAGTTCCTGACTTGTGACCAGGAACACTCAATGATTCAGTAGAGGGAGGTAAGGGATCATGATCTGTGAGATCCAGCCTATCTGCTTCTATGGCCTAGGGGTTCCCAGGGAGTTCATACTGGATTTGGAGGCTGGGACTTATCAATGACTTGGAACAGGAAGGTGAGGGGGGAACATCTGTTTGGGCTCCTGGTAATAGAGAGGAGTGGAGGTATAAGGGGCAGAAGTAATATCAGGTTCTAAGGCAGACCCATGTATGTAACTGGGGACTTGGGTATCGAGGATCAAATTCAAATGTTTATATCTGAATTCATCCTAGGGGCTTCACTGGCATGAGCGGTCAGTGTGTTCCCAGGGCTGATACAATTCAATGAGTTGGAGGAGATAGTTAAGGTTTGAAGACCTGAGGGATGCACTGGATATGATTCAGGAGTGGAGGGGCAATAAGGACTCAGCAGCAGGTGGTCTACTACACGTGTGAATTCAACTGGGAGACTGGATCAACTGGGAGACTGGATCAACTGGGAGACTGGATCAACTGGGAGACTGGATCAACTGGGGAGACTGGATCAACTGGGAAGAGACTGGATCAACTGGGAGACTGGATCAACTGGGAGACTGGATCAACTGGGAAGAGACTGGATCAACTGGGAGACTGGATCAACTGGGAGACTGGATCAACTGGGAGACTGGATCAACTGGGAGGAGACTGGATCTCGAGGATTGGATGGGAGACCTATGGCAGTCTATCTGCTTCAATGGCAGCAGTGGGTTATGTGATTCCCAAGGAGTGCCAAGTAGAGTCTGGGATCTTGGGCAATGAATGTGTTGGAAAACAGTGTTGAGCATGCAGATATGTGGGATCCCCCAGAGCTGGGCATGGAATGTTGGTCACAGAGGGAAGCTGTAGCAGGTTTTCTACTGCAAACCGTGGCTGAAACTGGAAACACTGATCTCAAGGATCAGAGATAGAGGTGAAGACCAGTATTCATCATTCTTGCTTCCCTGGCAGAAGTGACCTATGTGTTCCCAGGGATTTCCTAGTTGGTTTGGGGGCTGGCCCCAGTCATTGAGTCTGAGGCCAGAGGTGGGGGATGAAGAACTCTGGAATCTATTGTAGATGTGAGTGGGGTATGGGGGTGAAGAGAATCAGTAGCAGATGTTCTACTGCACATCTGTACAAGAAACTGGGGAACTTGATATCAAGAGTCCAAGGTATTGGTGAAGCTCTGTAGGTAGGCTATCTGCTTCAATGGCAGCAAGGGCCTATGGGTTTCAGGTAGTTCCTGTTAGACTTGTGGGTGGGACAACTCAATGATTCAATAGAGAGAGATGAGAGACCATGATCTGTGAGATACAGGAGCAGGGCAGTGGTTTGAGGGAGGCTGCAGCAGGTGATATACTGCAGATCTGAGGATGGAACTGGGCGACTGGATCTCTAGATCCGAAGTAAACTTGGAATTCTGCATCCAGCCTAAATGCTTTAATTGCATGACTATTCTATGTGTTCATAGGTAATTAATGTGGGCAATTTGTAATGGAGTTGAGGGATCTCCTGGAGATGGGAGAAGGGTACAGGGTTTAGAGGGAGGGAATCAGGATGGTGTTGAAGTTAGAGGGATGCTGCAGTAGGTGGTCTGTTGCAGGGCTGTGGATGAATCTGGGAGATTTTATGTGGATACTGAGGGAGAACTGCAATTAGCTGTCTGCATCCCTGGCATGGCACCTGGTGAGCTCTATGCTGCAACTTTATGATAACTGTTTAGTAGGCACTCAAAATCAGCAAGATGATATCTATCAAGACAAGCAAACAACCAAAAAATTCCAAGCAACCAAAACAAACCTTCCTGCTTTTCAATCTTCCTTGCAGAAATAGTCATCATAGCCTATCATTAAACCAAAGGAACACTTGAAGTTTGCATATTTTTAAACCATCTAGCAATGGAATTCTGTTTAAAAGAATCAGTCTAGGCTCTTATGAGCAGAGCAGCAATGAACATAGATAAGATAGTATCTCTGTAGTAGAAGATAGACTCCACTGGGTATACCCTTGAAGGTGATGTATTTGGATTCTTGGTAGTTTGAATTTCAGGTTTTTGAGGAAATCACACAATGATTTTCATAATGGTTCTGTGTACACTAAAGTCCTTTAAAAAAACACCATGCAAAACTACTGTGCACATTTCAAATGTACACATATATGAAAGGAATTTAAATGGAGTCACCATATACGGGGGAAGAATGCCCCAACTTAACATCTATGTCAACAACATAACCTCCATTACAAGGAATGAGTTACATCTTATTGACTCATGGGGCCAAAGGCGATCTCAAAATCATTCACAAACATCACTGAATACATGTGACACTCCACAACGTGACTGTAAGTCTCTATTGCTAAACACTTGACTGTTGTACATCATCAAACATAGGGGAAAAAAACTCAAACTAGGGCTCAACTATGAGCTTCATCCCTACCAACAAGCACTCATGGTTACTTTGCTCACTACTAGGGCAGAAAGGTAGTCATCAATATCATATACCTACAAACCCTGAGACCTACAAGAGAACCTTACCTGCAAGATAGACTACTGCGGTGATGGCACATATATTATGGAAATAGCCAAAAACATTTTCATGAGATTGAAGGCTCACCTGACCCTGCTAATGTGCCTAAGAACATGAGTACCTGATCACTTCACAGGTCACATACTGTGGGGGCAAATGGCACCCTTCTTATTTTACTAAAGGAAGATAACAGTCAAATGACTCAAAATGGCATACTAAATATCCTTAGATCGGGGCCTCACTCAGTCCTTATTAGAGAGGCTTTTTCTTGTAGTAGATTATAAATAACAGAGAATGAGGAAGAAGAAGGGGTGGACAAGCAGGAGGCGCTCACTTAAAAGAGAAAGCTTGCACATGCCTACAGAGTCCTCACACAGCCCCTTAACGCAGGACAGAGCTAGCCATGGCATAGCCACCCAACACAGGGCCCTTGGAGCTAAGTCTCCGCCTGAATGCGCGTGTGCATACCCTGGCTGCTGTCAGGGTGTCGGGTTAACATAATGTCTCGATACCAACAACAGGTCAAGATTCAGGTGCTTTGCATTGTGCTAAAGTTATCTGACCATTTTAAAAGTGTTAATGCTTTCAGCCAAATTATTTCTGATATGAGTATACTCCTAATGTGTCTAAAATTTATGGTTTCACAAACTCAAAGTATTCACAAACTCCAAGGGAGCTGAATTTGGACCCACCCAAACAGGCCAGACTCACTCCAGATAAATATTATCCAACCTTTCCCTGGTCCTGGGACTCCCTTTCCTCATCTTGGGACCCCCTTAGGAGTCCCTCTCTCATCTTGCAATCCTCCTCCCCTCAAGTACCAGGAACTAAATTGCCAGGTCAAAGAGGAGCCAGAGAGTTCCATACAGAATGGACTGCAGTAAAACGAACAGCTATCCCTGGACGTGCCAGCACCCCTGTTTTCTCAGGTCCCCCAAAGACGATTGAAACCTCCCCCCAGGTCAGCTGGAAGGAGTCTTGACAATTTGGTGCCCCATATTCCTGCCCTACCTGAAACCCCATTTAATCTCCCACCTTTTTTCATAAAAAGAGGTGAGACTGTTTGTATCCAGGCATTATGCTGACCCTGCCCCCTGACAAGCGGCAGGGTGTGCGCACCAGCATTCAGGCAGAGACTTAGACAGCTCAAAGGGCCCTGTGTTGCGTGGCTACGCCATGAGTTACATGGCCGGATAAGGACTCATGGGCAAGCTTCCCTCTCTTCCATCTCTGTTCCCGGGATAGCCAACATGTACCCTTCCCTTTGTTGCCTTTTCCCCAACAAATTACAAATGATTTGTTTAGTTTTGTGGTTCCTGTACATCACACACAGCTGCAGCAAAGTAACAACACCCTGAAACTGGGATAATACAGCCAAAAAGCAGAAGGAGTAGTTGGCTTTTTTCTATTATAGAGGGCTCCCCACAGCTCCAAATTAAATACGCAGAGACGTATCCTTACTTACAAACTCCCGGCCTTAGCTTGACTTGTTTCTAGTCAGATTTTCTAATTTGAATTGCCCTGTTTCTCTTTAACAAAGTTTCGCCTCTGGACTTCTTACCTTTCTTTATTTTATGTCTTTCTTTTCTTCTTACTCTATGAGTGGCTGGCCCGTAGGGTCGTCCTCGTTATCTCCTCCTCTCAAGCCAAGAGTTCCCCCTTCCATTTATACTCTCTGCCTGGCAGCCCCGCCTCTTCCTCTTCTGCCTAGCTATTGGCTGTTTACTTTTTTATCAGACGAATCAGGCAAGGAGAAACAAATGTAGCACCTCTTTTCATAATTAAACAAATGCAGCTTAAACAGACGTTAACACAGCTAAAGTAACATTCTAACAGCATAAACAAATGTAACACTCCTTTGCCCAGTTAAAATAATATTCCCCAACAAAGAGCATTTGCTAAGAAATAAATGCAGGCTGTAGTCTCACTCATTGTTAGCTCATGTTTTTCAATTCCAGCTATTTCGGGCCTCTTTTCTTTGGTGCTTGAAAGGTACTAGTGTGCTTTTCACCTCAAGTGTCTGGCCACGCCTCTCTCTCTGGCTTTCCTTCGTTTCTTTCTCATTCATCCTGTAGGGTGTACTCTAAGTGAGAGCCTGTTAGACTGTCTTCCTGACAAACTCTAATGTATCCGGCACAATGCCTTAACTTTTTTATTTTCTTTTTCTTTTTTTCACGGAACTTAACACACCTGTAAATCCACATGAATGGATTATCTTGAGACTCAGAGTCTCGTGCTTATACCTCCTAATTAGCCGCCGGTTATTTGAGAGTCTGACTTGCAGACCAATGGCACTCTAACCTCTACCAAGTTATCGCCACATCATGGCCATGTGGAAGCAACAGTAAATAGACAACTGACAGAAATGCATTTTGACAGAGCAGCCACTAATTGAAATTCTTTGCTATCATCATCCTGAATTCCAACCCTAAATGTGCTTGGTGGTTCCTCTTGACTTTTAACTGAAAGGAAGTTCAGATGCTATTACTGCTAATATGACAGGGAATAAGATTGGGAAGAAAGTCTGCATATACTATAGGGCAAGCCTGTTAGCACACTGTTCACAGGTCCATCCTTGTGAGGACCAAGTAAGACATGGATGCAGAAAGGGCCCAGCTGACCCTAATTCTCACTGCCTATCCATTCCTTAAAGGTAGAGGCATTACTGTCAGCTGTGTTCCCACCAGAGACCCTGCTAGGTTCCAATTGATAACCCAAACGCAGTCACAAGGCCTCTGTGGTCAAACTAAATGTGTCACAAAGCAAACCCAAATGTCATGAATCTGGGAGAGGGACTGGAAGGGATGAGTATGGCTTGATAGGGATGAGAAGGAGACAAGAGGGGGGATTGGTGAGGAAAGAAGAATCAGATTACATGGATACATATATGAAAATGTCGAGCAAAGTCAACAAATAATGGATTTTTTAAACAAATATTGATTTCCTATGTGATGGAAACGTAAGGGTTATGTTCATTTCTAGATCTCCTAACCAAATCTATGGAGTAGGAGTCACTGAAATTAAAATGGAGAAGCACGGGTTCAAGGAGTTAGAATGTGCAGCAACAATTCCCACATGTGCTGCCACACTCCCAGGATCCTTCATTGTATGACAAAACCTCAAATTTCCCAGGAAGAAAATGCCATAAGTAAACGTCAAATAGTTACTCCTAGAAGGACAACAACTTACAGAAGCTAGGGCCATGTAAGTTGTGAGTGGCGAGTGACCATTGCTTCCCAGGGACTTTAGTTCTTTCACTGAAGGCCCCTTTTGAGGGCCAGGGATCTTCTGCAAGTAATTAACAAGAGGTGCGATTCCATCAAAGACCACTCAGGAACTGCAAGATCAGAGCAGGGAGTAGTGAAGTCTTGAGGATGCTGCTCTCCAAGCCTCTTAGTTTCTCTTTTTTCTCCCAGGTGGCATGCTATGGGCAGTCGAATCCCAGGAAGCCAACTTTTACCACAGTACTTCCCATTGGGTGATATATGCTAACTGTGGATTGTCAATTCCACTAATTAAGCCATATTCTGGTGTGTTCCCATGGAAGTAGAAAACATTCTGCTAAGTGTTGTTTCCAAGTCATTCAACTCTCACAGGACAACCTTATTTCCCTTTTCTCTAAGCACTCAGGAGTTCTCATTGCAAAATCCTGAGGGCTTACAATGACACAGAAACAGATTACCACTATCGGCTCTGAGGCAATGGCAATGTGTATAGCTCACTAAGTACTAGAGGGAGACTTCTTAGACATGCCTCTTTATGGTAACATTTTCCTTCTTTAGTGGGAAACCTGCACAGTAGCTTCCTCATCCATTGCCAGCAAAGGCTGGCCGCAAAGCCAGGGTTTAGCCAAGCAGGCAGGGGTAGGGATTAGAACTTAGAACAGTTGTTGGACCTCTCCACACACCTTTATGTTCTTCCACAGAAGGGAACTCACTGTTCCCTTAAGATTGGAAGTAGAAGCTGACAAAGGATGGGGGGAGGAGGGAGGGAGAGAGAGAGAGACAGAGAGACAGAGAGACAGAGGCACAGAGACAGAGACAGAGGCACAGAGACAGAAACAGAGTGTCCCTCTTAGCCTCAGACTCACAAGCCATTGCCTCATCTCCTGTCCAGCAGCTGCCCTAGATGAACATAAGTTCCCAACACGACATTATATTCCTTCCTAGCTAAGGGACTGACAATATTGAGACCTCTTCCTGTGTGCTAATGGAGGGATTAACTGATCTGCTAGATCTGGCCTAGGCAAAGGCTCTCCCCATTCCTCCTGGTTCATCTCTAATCCACTCCTCTTTCACATCAATGCTATCACAAATGGGCTGGGAAAGCCACAAAGAGACCCCATTTCTGTCCTTGCAGAGGGGCTGCAGCAGACCAGGGCATTTCAAAGCCTTTACGTGGTGCCTTCTGAGTCGAACTGAATAGCTCTCTGCTGAAATTGCCAATGGATAAAAGCTCTCTTTAGAAATGGCTCTTCGATGAAAAGTTTTGGAATTCTTAGGATTATACCCCTTCAGCCCTATCCCATTATGCCCCCTCTCTGCCTTTGAACTCCAGGGAAGGGTGGAGGTAAAGCCACCCTGGAAGGGAAGGGGCTGGGTATGTTCATGCTGGGGGGAGGGAAGTGACAGCATACTACCTTTGCAAAAGTCTACTCCTTTGTTTTGTTTTGTTTTGTTTTTCCTAATATCTATGAAAAGGCGGCATCTCCCTGGGAGAAGGAAGAGACCCAGAATGGCAGCTTCACCCCGCTGCTGGAGAAGTCTCAGGTGTCACAGGCCACAGTCACTCAGGGAGCACTCCTAGTTAGAAGATCAGCATTATCAATTACATGACCCACACTCCTCCTGATGAAGCAAGCTTCAACATTTTTTTCTCCTGGTTGGGGCTGGAAGCTCATTGAGCTCCATTTTCTTCCGCTGTTTTTTGTAAGCATGTCCTACCATTGAATCTCGAGAGATTTGAACAGTCCTTAATCTGGAAATTGACACGCTACTGCAAGGAAATTCACTGCCAATGTCATGAACTTCTCCACCTCTCATTGCTCCTCTGTGACAACCCCAAGGACTGGACAGCTAGCTACCTTAGTTTCAGATTTTCTGTTGGAGTGGCTTGTATTGATCTCATTTGTCATCTAGTTTTCATTATATTCTAGCCAAGAAAGGCTCTAATAGCTTGGAGAATGATCTCCAGAACTTTTGATTGTCAGTTAGCATATTCAGACCAACTCGCAGCCTAGAAACTACAGACAGAGGTGCAAACACAGCAAAAAAAGATGCAAACATTTCTCCCAATTGATAATCTTACACACATCTTTGTTTTCTGCAAGATATACTCCTGTCCTACACACACACACATACACACACACACACACACACACACACACACACACACACACATACACACACACCACCCTTCATCCCTTTTCAGTTCCTGTCTTCAGTCTTGTTTTGGTTTTTATTCTGAAACGGGACCTCATTATGTAGCCTAGTCTGGCCTCAAACTCACAATGTTCTTCCTTGGCCCTGGCCTCAGTCTCTGTCCTGAGTGGGATCCTAAGAGCTGGGGAAGGACTTGGAGAAGAGGAAGGGGGTACAGGGAAACTGTGATCAGGCTGGGAAAAATTAAAGCAATAATAGTTAAGCTTTCCCAGAATGTATTTCTTTTTCTGTACTGAAGCCCAATTTTCAATTCAAACTGACAAAATAAACAAGAGATAGCCATAGTTTACAAAAAGAAAAACAAATGTCATTGGTCTACTGGGGATGTAATCACCTAAGATGTTGTGAACTTCCCAACTCTCCTGCCTTATTGGTTCTCAAAATAACCCCCATAGAGGATTCAGTAAACCACATTTAAAATAAAAATTGGAATTCAATCTACTCAAGAACAACATAAAATTGTTTGGATAAAGTAATAAATTTATCTTTCATTCACAGGTTAAGTATTAGCAAAGCTTTTGAGCCTGGGATAGAAGAGTTTATAAAACTAATTTAATTTCATCTCCACTGTTCATAGGGGCTTTTTGTCTAAAAACTAACCATGAGTTCTGAAGGAAGAGGGTAATGGGGAGTGTTTACGAAGGGAGACACAATGTATATTTCCTGTGAAGAGCCTATACTTTGAGATGTTCCAGGGAGCATATTAGGCAATGTGTTCTTAGGTGTGATACACCAAATCCACAATTATATGCTACATATTTGCAGAGAAGAGAGTGATGCCCTCAATGAATGTACTGTTTGACATGGGCATGGGCATATAGCCATTGTCAAGGATGCCAGTGCCTTAGACCCATGGGAAATGCAAAGGCTTGCCCAACCTAGACTCAGGTAAATAGCATAGCCTTCTTCTGGTCCATGTTGAAGTACATGAAGAAAATGTCCAATGTAGCTTTCTGCCTGCTGGATGGATACAGCCTGAAGACTCCATCTAAAGAGACTTCCTACTGAGACTGGCTGCACTTGCCTCCTTGTTCAATTGTATGCAATGACTCTCTTCAATCACATCGTTTAAGAAACTGAGCTTCCAGAGAGCTGTAGCTTCTCCATCAGAGAGGTCATACCACCCAATACCAACTTTTCTGTGTCCACGGGTGTCTTAGTCACATTCGTCCTGCCATGAATAAACACTATGACCAAGGCAACT